GATCCACAGAAACACCATCACCCGAAATAACATGCTCCAGAAAACTCACTGTCTTCAACCAAAATTCACATTTTGATAACTTGGCAAACAACTTGTTATCCTTCAACACTTGTAAAGTGATCCTCAAATGTTCCGCATGCTCTTCCTCAGATTTAGAATAAATCAGAATGTCGTTAATGAACACGACAATAAACTGATCCAAATAAGAATGGAAGATACGGTTCATATATTCCATAAACACACCCGGCGCATTAGACACTCTGAAAGGCATTACTGCATACTCGTAATGTTCATATCGAGTCCTAAACGCCGTCTTCTGAATATCACCTTCTCTCACTCTTATCTGATGATAACTCGACCTCAAGTTGATCTTACCGAACACATGATCTCCCGCTAACTGATCCATCAAATCATCGATCCTTGGAAGAGGATATTTATTCTTGATGGTCACTTTGTTCAACTGACGGTAATCGATGCACAACCGCATGCTACCGTCCTTCTTCTTCACTAACAACAATGGAGCTCCCCACGGTGACACACTTGGTCTAATAAACTTTCTGTCCAACAACTCTCCAATCTGAGTCTTCAACTCGGCTAGCTCCACTGCCGACATCCTGTACGACACCATAGAAATAGGCCTCGTACCAGGAATAAGATCAATGCTAAACTCAACCTCTCTCTTCGGAGGAAACTCTGTAATATCATCCGGGAACACCTCTGGAAACTCATTCACCACGGCTAACTCATCCAACAATGCCTTGTTGTCAACAGACAGTGTTGCAAATAAAGCAAACACCTGCGCTTCATCTTCCAACAAGGTTCTCAATTCCTTACCAGACAAGGAATCTGCCAACGCTTCTTCTTCAAGAGTAAAAAAAAATAACACTTTCCGAAAACAATCGATGTACACTCGGTTGAACTCCAACCAGTTCATACCCAGTATAACATCCAAACCACCAAGTGACAAACAGATCAAATCCACACCAAAGTCTCGGCCAAAGATAGTCAGTGGACACTTCAAACACACTAGCGAAGTAGTCACTGAACCAATCGAGGGAGTTTCAATAGTCATCCACCGCTCAAGGGTAGTCAGCACCAAACCTAACCTCTTCACACAATCAACAGAGATAAACGAGTGGGTCACACCCGTATCAATCATAGCAGTCAAAGAAATGTTATTGATAAAACAAGTACCTTTGATCGAACGTTCTCCATCTTCCGCTTGAGTTCCCACAACTGCAAATACTTTACCCGCCACCTGAGGCGCCTGAGCCCTCCTCGGCTTCTCACAATGAGTACTAATGTGGCCCTTATCACCACAGTTATAACAAGTAGGCATATTAGTCATACAATCCGCCATCAAATGGCCCGGCTTCCCGCACTTGAAGCACTTTTTCGCATCAGGAGGACAATAATTGGCACGATGACCCATGCCACCGCACCGGAAACACTTCGTATCAGCCAACGCCCTACCCTCTCTGGGCTTCCTATCAACAACACCCTTGAACTTCCCCTTACCAGTCGGAACACTGTAAGGAGTACCACCAAACCTCTGCTTACCCTTACGATCACTTGCCACCTTGTAGTGTGTGATCCTCGCACGGTTATCGTTATCATAGATACGACTCCTACTCACTAACTCAGGATAGCTCCTGATTTTCTGACATGCAATTCCCATCTTGATCTCTGGCCTCAGCCCATTCTCAAATTTCAGACACTTCGAAGTCATAGCTTCCTCAGTATTGTAATGAGGACAATACTGAGCCAGCTCCTCAAACCTAGCCGCATACTCGGCCACCGACATACTGCCCTGTTTCAATTCCAAAAATTCCACCTCTTTAGCACTTCTGACATCTTCCGAAAAATACTTCTCCAGAAATCCAGACCGAACTACCTCCCAAGTAATCGGAGTCCCCGAAGCTTCCATCCTCTGACGACAATTATCCCACCAAGCCTCGGCCTCGGCCTCGAGCATGTGAGTACCGAACCTCACCTTCTGCTCATCACTGCACCCCATGGTTCTGAAGATCTTCTCTATTGCCTTCATCCATTTCTGTGCAGCTACCGGATCCAGGATTCCACCTTCAAACTTTGGTGGCTTGTTGCTCTGGAACTGCGTCAGGTCTCTAAACTGAGCTCCTACAGCCAGATTCTGGTTGGCCACCACTTGTGCCATAGCCTGCATCGCCGCAGCCAACGCCGCATCATTTCTCCCAGCCATACTGCTCAACAACAACAATCCAAGTTAACATAAAGCAAGCAACTCTATCCTATAGACAGACTCAACACACTACACTGGCCGAAAGGACCGACCTGCTCTGATACCAACTTGTAACACCCCGTTTCCCAAAATAAAATAAAACAATTAAATAAGCACACATCAGAGTATCTCCCACAACGGGATGTAACAATTCACACTAAAATTTACACAAATATTTTTCCAAATACTTTAACTGAACTTTTCAATAAAATTGCAGCGGAAAAGATATGGTCTGTCATAACACAAAATATCATATACACACATCATCCATATCCATCATCACCATCATATGTACAACATTGGCTATCTACCCAAAATACATAGCATCATCATGCATCACCACACATATACAAAATCAGATACGCCACAGGGGCACACAAAATCAACATAAAGCGATAAAACTCTCAAAAAGGCCCCGATGTTACGTATCAGAGTAGTCCTACGGAAACACTACAATCCAACTAGCTAAGCACCTGGATTGTCTGTACTTCCGAAGAAGCACAGACCACAACAGCAACAAAGGGGTGAGAATCACGATTAAATAATAATGGTATACTAGTACATGAAATAAAAGGCAGAAATCTTAATAATACTATTCCATATTCATATCATCCGGACTCACGGTCCCACCATCAACCACAACATACAATCACGCAACAAATGCACTCACTCAACTCTTAACACACGGTACCGACTCACAATCATGATGGGCAACTGGCCATCAACCCTCCACACAAGAGCACATATCAACGATGGATAACTGGCCATCAACCCTCCACTCAGGGAGCACACCACACCGATGGGCAACTGACAATCAACCCTCCACAATGGGAGCATCACAACAATATCGATGGTCACTGGGCCATCACCCTCCCCACAGGGAGCACAACAATAATGCCGATGGTCACTGGGCCATCACCCTCCTCTACGGGAGCACACAACCATATTCATACACATCATACATCTAGCACACCAAATGCGCACCGATCCTATCGATCCACCCCTCACACAACATATACATATACACGACGCACAAGGCGTACCGATCCCACAGATTCACTCACATCATAAAATACATACACAACAAGCACACACAGTGCGTCGATCCCACGGATCCATTCACCACACAAATTATCACATACAATGCACACAAGGCATGTCGGTCCTACTGACCCAAATACATCACATAACAACACACAAATCTAACGCATAATAAGCGTACCGGTCCTACAGACCCACTTACCACAACACATCACTACAACATACTCAATGCGTAACGATCCTACTGATCTGCATCTTTCGTACACTGTGCATACATCTCACGTACGCATCCACACATATTCATTCCTAGTCGAAGGATACATAGCCACTTTAGGCATCACAGCGTACTTCAGTTCAATCGTTCGTATCAACGAGTATTCAAGCA